GAGACACCTAAAGGCACAACTACCAAAGGTGGAGCAATTAAAATCAGAATATCTAAAGATGAGGAAAAGCATTCAAAACCAGTGATGTGCTTTGAATAAAAACCGAAAGAACCGCGGATGCTGTAAATCATGAACAAAAACAGAAGTTGCTGGAAAAGCTCAGCAGGCCTGGCAGCATCTGTGAAGAAAAAAATCAGTTAACGTTTTGGGTCCTGTTCAGAGGAAGGGTCATTGGACCTGAAAAGTTAACTGATTTTTTTTCTTCACGCATGTGCTTTGAAATCCAGTTACAAGTTGCCTTTTTAATTCCATACCTACAATAGTTTAACGTACAAATATTGTTGTTTTGATTTCTGTGCATTACTTAATTTTCTTTTAATCCCTCAAGTGATATAGTTTTGTCTTGGAATATAGGTTGGCAAGACTATACTTAGTTTTCATCGTGCAGCTTTCTTGAACTGCTTCCCCTGCCAATGATGCCTGCATCTGTTTTTTAAAGAAAGAAACATAGTGGAGATTCAGCCCATTAGCAAAAAGGTAATTCAAGCAGATTGCTCTATCCTGATGTACGTCCTAAGTGTGGTTACCATTAAGTGATGAGTTTTCCATCACTCTTTTTTTAACCTGAGTAAAACATGGACGATACTTGATGGGTGAGAAGAATGAACCATCCTATTGCAGAATTTCCAACCGTTGTGGTTTGGTAGCTACCACATTAACACAATCTGTCAATGAAACTTACTTCAGTGGAGATTCCTCCAGCACATTATTTGATATTGGTGAAAAAGACCTGTGAGTTTTTCAAATCTGCGTATTACTGATCTGAACTACCTTTGTAACTGCAGTATTTGGATGCCAGGTCGAGTGATAAGCCCTGAGGAACCCTGGTGGGGATTTAGTAATGGTGAACTTTAGGGTGGAGGAAGGATCGATTTGCTCTCATTGGAGATGATCATTGTCCAACAGTGGTGTGATGTGAACATTACTTGCTATTTGTCAGTCCAAGGCTGAATTTTTTCCAGATTTTAACACATATGGATATGGACTACTTTAATTGCAAATTGTACAGTGGTTAGTACTATCATCAGTGTACATTCTGACCTCTGATATTATGATAGGGCATTGAAGCAGTTGAAGATGCTTGAGCTGAGGAGCTCTCAGGATATCCTTGGATTGAAAGGATTAGTCTCTAACAACCATAGCTATCTTTCTTTGTGCTAGTTATGAATAAAGTTTATACAGAGTTAGCCATGATTCTCACTGAATTTTACTGACGCTCCTTATTGCTGATGCTTGGTGAAATGCTGCTAAGAGCAGTTGCTCACATCTCACCTCTAGAATTTGGATTTTTCTATGCATATTTGTACTCGGGCTACAATGAGATCCTAACAGAACATAGCGTTAGTAA